AATGACTGACAGTTAGAAGGACCACTGATTGAGGAAATAAAAGATTGTTCTCTATATCTTTAATTATTCATACATTAAGGATCAATGTCACAAAATAAATGACTGAAAACTGATAATTAACCATTCTTATGCTCTCTTGTTTTATTTCCTTTTTTACTTTTTTATCTTGTTTTATGGTTGTTTTAATGTAAATCTGTGTATTTGCTTCCTATATAAAATGATTTTACTAACTTATTAACAGAAAAAACTTCCAGCTTAGTGATACATTTAACAGAATCAGTGTGAATAATATTCAACAAGAAATAAAATGGGCTCATCACATAGCCTACCATTAAGGTCCCTCAGTTTCATTTGTTCGGGGTGAAGAACATTGATACCTGCTGACTGTAACCTGAAGAGGAAAAACCTAAAACCCATCAGAATGTGGAGAAAACAGTTCTAGCTATAGGAATCATTGTAGTTCTTAGACCTGCATCATTTTATCTGTTTACTTTGGTTTATTTTATGGGTGTTCATGTTGAGGAATAAGGTGGTAATATTGGTTATGATATCAGTAATAACAACAACTTCCTAGTTCCTAAAACCAGCCTAATTACATAGGATGCCCATTGTTTATGTTTCCATGTTCTGAATGTCCATCAAGTCGTCTCTGATGAGATCCACAGTCTGATTGGATAATGTCAGCGAGTTCCTTCTCTGATTGGTGGGCAGGGTTGGTGTCTAGATGCTCCTTCTCTCTGATCAGGGTTTTCCGGTGAAAGAACAGATAACAAGGCAACAGAAAGGCGGCCAGGGAGAAGATTAGAAGTCCTACATTGATCTGTGGTAGGAAAGTAAACATGAGTTCATCCTTGGAGAATAGTTCATCTACTTTGCACCAGGATACCAGTTTATGATCATAAAAAAGTTTGCCTTTTCATAACAGAGTAAAACACAGATTCATGTTTGCTTTGATATATTACTGCTTTATGCTATCCTACATTAAAAAGCAAACATACTCCTCCAGTTGGAGTTCTGAATTTAGCCACAAGCAGGAATAAATCATTGTTTGAACTGATACTTAAAGCATCTTATTTTTAATGACATTCTGAGGAGTTCATGCATCCCTGCTATAAGCTGTGGCAGTTATGAGAGCTCCCTACCCAGTAAGGGTCGCCTCTGAGGTGGCCCACCATCAGTATGAAGAGGGGCTGCTGGAGTAAAGCAAAAGCAGCGCTGATGGTGGACTGGAATCCTGTCAAAGTGCCGAAGTGGTTAGTGGGATACCTGGGATGGAGGAGAACAGAAATTAGTAGCGGGCTCTTCCCCAGTAATACAATTTAATTCAAAATAACAATGTATGAAAGCAGAAAAAAATTGAAGATAAGATGTTAGTTCCTTCATGATCCAATAAGTTTATAGTCAGAATCTTAGGCTATGTTTACAACAGGCGTGCTTTGAGCAGCCAAAANTTCTGTTGCTTCAGCTGCCTGTGAAGTGCATCAGATACTTAGAAGCTCATGAGGCGCTGCTCCTGCTTGTTAAAACACGGTTCAGGACCTTTTCCTGCGCCAAGATGCACGTCAACCATTGAATTTGCATCTAAACCGATTGCTTCTGCTGATCAAAGTGTGTGTGGGGTGAACGTAGCACTAATTAATGGTGTTACTCACACTGCAGCATAGAGGCCTCCACAGCAGGAGTGGATGAATCCTCTCACTATGGTGTGAAGAACAAACGACACCACCTGGTAAATGTGACCAGAGAACAGGACAGTTTTTAGAGTACTGACAGTATTTACTTTTTATTTGCTGTACAAAACTCTATGTAATTTAATGGAAAACATGACGAGTTACATTAGATGTTTTTTTTCCTTACCTGTATGGGCAAGTTGTCAATTAAGGAAATGACTCCAAACATGACCAGAAGGAAGTTGGTAAAGACGAAGGCTCTGATGGCGTTGGTCAGCTTCTGGACCTTTCTGTCTCTGATTGGGGGCTCTGAGACGCTGAGGGAACAATTGTCATAAGTTCTGATAATCTAATGTTGTCATTTTTGATGCTACATGGGTCCCAGTGTTCCCAGCATGACATGAAGGAAGGACTGAAACAAAGACTGATCATCCCACTTCCTGTTTGATTAGACAAACCGATCAATATTTTCCTACCTCTTGGTTTTTAGTTGGCTGGGATTCTCCTCTTCACACTCTTTCATCTTCCAGTCCATCATGTATCCAATCAAAGGACATGTCAGCAGACACAGAAGCTGCGTTGAACCAAAGATGGATGAGTAGAAACCAACTGCAGAGACATGCAGAGTGAATCAGTTCAGATTGATGAAAATAAATGGATGGGAGGGAGACTCAATCTGGACTGGCTCCATGTTACAGTTACCTTGCTCCTCAGCCTCCCTCTGTAGCTCCTCTGAAGCTGAAAGACACAGCAGCTGCTAAGCTTTACCAATAGAACAGAGACATGTGACCTGTAACACATGATGTTATGCATGTTTTACGCCTACCGTTCGGGTCACCATGAGTAACCAGGAACTCCAGCATCTTGTTCATGGCTCCCATGAAGAAGATCAGCCTCAGCTGGGTGATTGCCATGGCGACGACACTCCACAGGAAGATGGGAGAGCAGACAGAGTGACAGATTGGCACCGCAGCTGAACGACAAACAGGGAAACAAACACGAGTTCAGATCTGAAATGGTCTGATTCCAGGAACTACGCAGAATCAGCTCTGAGACCGGATACAGACAGTACTGTACACTGGAAAACATGGAAATATACATAAGTCATTTTTTTCCTAAAATAAGTGCAGTTTTTCTTGAATTGAGGAGGTAAGTGAGACACTTTGCCAATGGAAGAAGACAATTTACATTTAACATACGAAAAAAAACATTCATTTTGTCTTATTTCAAGTGTATATTCTCTAATTACCTTATTTTAGGGGTAAAAATCCTCATTCCATTGGCAAATCATCTTATTTACCGACTCAAATTGAGGGTAAATACAGTTAATTTAAGACATTTTGACTTATTTCTAGATCGTTTCTGAAGTGTAGAGAGATGATGCATTTATTTTGAGATAAGAGTGGTCAGAGTTATTAAGTAAGAACAGTTTAAAATGAAATTTGCTGCAGAGAATGTGTTTTCACCAAGGCTCGAATAAAAAAAACAAAATGCTATTGTTTACTCTAGAAGATGGAGCATTAAAGCTGATTCATTTATTTACACTTATTAGTGGAAACAATGTCAGTAGGACTTAGAATGATTAAGTCTACCATACAATCTGCAGCCTTTTATGTTTCAAACAGTGTGTAGGCATTGAATTAAATGGCAGCATAAATACCAGGGGATGAAAAACAGTTTAAACTACAAAAGTTTCCCTCCGATGACAAAGAAAAGTCAGATCTAAACGCCAAAATTTGTCCTCGAGTTCTAGGATAAATCTCAACATCAGCTGTTTGAGTTACGGACCCATTATTAGCGGGTTAGATGATGGAGATTAACATCTTATGCTCTGTAAACATTGGAGATCTCCTCTGTCAATCGCCGCCTGACCGACTCATCTCTCTCAGATCTCCTCCATGCATCTGTCACTACCCTTAAAGCAAAGCAACAGACCTACTGGCGATAAAAAGCTGATTTATCATTAGCGCATTCAATTGGCATTAAATTCTAATAATGTGTCCCTTTAAGATCCAATGCTGAGTCGTTTGGCATCTTGATCTAAGCACCTTCATACATAGAAAGCCTATATGTGATCCTTTCTTTATTGTAGGCAGCAGACTGCGGAGATAAATCATTCCAAAGACATTTTAATGGTACCATCACACTGTTCTTTCATAAATATCAATGGCAGCATGCACTTCTTTATGGGTAAACAGCAAACATGCATGAACAAGGCTGAATACGACACCAGAGAACAAGGCTGTACCTTTGGTCGTGCTTTGGGACTCTTCTTGCTCTGATTCAGGCCATTTGTCTCCCGTCGTTCCCTCTGCAATCATCAAATTGTTGACGTACTTGTCCCCAGCCGTCCTATCTTCATCACTATTCATTTTACTGTTGAGAGGTATAAAAAAATGTGAACTTCTATCTAACCAGTGACCTGGTCCTCTAATGACCTCACTGATCACCACAGGTCAGGGATCCCCGCCTCAGGCTTTCATACTGATGAAAAGAGGTTTATTTTAATGGAGCTAAACTAAATCTTTTGTTTTGACACAACATCCAACTTCACTCATGTTGTTTTGTTTTTTTGTTACTTTTGTTTAATGTACAAAGAATTACATTAAATAATATTAATGTTATTACTGCTGTTAGTTCTGAGAGTAAAATATGTTTAAATGGTGACAGACTTCCACTGTCTGTCATTCTACCATGCCTCCTTTATGGCCCCAATGACACACAATGACCTTATTGGTGTGAAAGTATATACTAAACCAGATATATAGATAGATATCAGAGATCTGATTGTTCCTTATGTTCCTAATGTTTGCTCTCAATCTGAAGCACTGGCGTAACTTTCTGAAGGACTGGAATGGACATGTCCCCACCAACTTTGGGCATGGAGGGGACAGTCCCCACCAATAATCAATAATTTTTCTTTTTTTCCCCCTTTCCACTGATTTGCTTTGCCAACAGTAACGGGTTGGGTTCAGCTAACTATGTTTTCAGTCCATGTTTTTTCCTCGCTCTGCCGCTGCTCTCCAGTCCCTCCTCTCTGTCTTACGTCATTGGATCTGTTGCTTTGGGACATAATATTATTTGGGGTCGCTATTTACTGCATACAGAGTATGCCACCGAAAAATCTGTTTGTTACTCATATGGACCTTTTTCAGCTAAAAATGGCAACAGAGTGTACATTTATATAAGTTGAAAAAGCTGGGCTTCTCAGAGGAACATTACTCAGAGTTACAGATTAAACTTAACACATATCTGTTGTACTGGCGACCTGTCCAGGGTGTACCCGCCTCTCGCCCCTAGACAGCTAGAGATAGACACCAGCACCCCTCACCACCACACTTGGGAATAAGCGTGTCAGAAAATTGATGAATGGACATATCTATTGTTTTCTTATTGAAAGGAGAATCGGAGCTACTATATATCTTGAAAATGATTTTCTCAGGCATCATTATATCGGTAGACAGGTTCATAAATCTGTTTTTAAGCAGAGCAGAGACACAATTAGGGACAGCTGCAGATTTAAAGGTGAAACAGATTTACTGGGATATGCAACATGCAATAAAATATATCTCCAATTTTACAAGAAAAAATATGCAATGCTATAATAAAACTCAACATATAATTTTGTCTTTTGTAGTTCAAAGAGACCCAGAAATACCTGCAACCCAGAGACAGTCATACTCACATTACACAGACTTAAAATCTAAGAAACCTGCAAGAATTAAAGCAGAAATAATAAATAAAAAATCAGTGCATAAATGTTTTTTTTTTAATATAAGGTTAAATACATAGACTTTGGCTGTCAACAAGATATGGAACTCATTTTTAAATTTGATTTTGCTGCTTGTGAAGGAGGATAATCACTGATGCAGCTTAAAGGGAAGCCATGCATGGATGGATGGATGGAACGGAAGTTGCGTCCATAATAGGGATGCATGATATATTGATGTTGACATCAATATGTTATTTGGTGATATTTGTCATTATTTATAGATTACTGTTTTTGAGCCCTTTATAAATAATGCACTAAAGGCAGGCCTCTGTCTATAACTATAAATATCAGTGTATTGTGGTTCTGTTGTGTTCTCAACAAGAGGAAAGCATTCAATATAAATATACGTTTGAGCTCATTTTTGGAAAATATAAACCCTATTGAAAGCGTTCAGGTTGAGTAGCTGTAGGTCAATCAGCCACTATCCTTAGAGCGTCCTCACCAATCTTTATCACAAAGTTACAACCTTGATCTGCAGGTTTACTAATGGTTCCTAGAATTTCTAAAAGTAGAATGGGAGGCAGAACTTTTAGTTATCAGGCTCCTCTCCTGTGGAACCAACTACCAGTTTTAGTCCGTGAGGCAGACACCCTGTCTACNTCAGAGATCTGATTGTTCCTTATGTTCCTAATGTTTGCTCTCAATCTGAAGCACTGGCGTAACTTTCTGAAGGACTGGAATGGACATGTCCCCACTTGGGATTAAGTGTGTCAGAAAATTGATGGAAGGACATATCTTTTGTTTTCTTATTGAAAGGAGAATCAGACTGCAGAGCTACTATATATCTTGAAAATGATTTTTTTCAGGCATCATTATATTGGTAGAGAAGGTTCATAAATCTGTTTTTAAGCAGAGACACAATTAGGGATTGTCTCCTGTAATACCTGAAACCTGTCTATGATTGTTAAGGGTCGGTCGTTAAGGAGGTATTGTTCACCGGCTGGAGCGGGTAGGTCCCTTGTTCCTCTGTTCCTCCAGAGGAGACAATCCCCCCTTAATGGCAATCCCCCCTTTAACGACCGACCCTTAGAATCATAGACAGGTTCAGATATTACAGGCTAACGATGGAACTAAAACGACCCATTCATCGGTTACCATTTGCATGTTTCCAAGCAATACAAGGCCTTGTCCATATAAGACTCAAACTCACTGCGGATCCAAACATTTGAATTGAGAAAGCTTCCTGGAGAGGTGGCGAAACGTCTTCAAATCTTGAAAACCAAGTCCAGTGGATATTTTTTGAATTTTTACGGAAAATATCTTGAAAACCAAGTCCAGTGGATATTTTTTGAATTTTTACGGAATGACTATGACCTGGATGACTGAGAACCTTCATCAGCAACCTCTAACTTTATGTTTTCTCTGTCTTTACTTGCCATGGTAGCTTCATCTGGGCAGGGGCTCTGTTAAGATGAAAACCATGTTGGAAGGAGGCACCAGCTTGGCTTCTGTCTTCAACAACTTCATGTTCACGTGTCAAACTCAAGACAAGCAGGCCAAATCTGGCCTGCCACGTCAAAGATATGTAAAGTAAAGGATTATGTTCCAGTAGCTAACACTGCTAAATAAATAGGAGTAAAATCACAGCAATTAGATCTTTGTGACTTCAATGATGAAGTTTGAAAGTTTCATTTACAGTTGTGAAACTATTGGTCCCCTTTAACATCTCAAACTTTGGACAATTCAGGCTTGAAACATAAAGATCTAAAATTTTAATTTAAAAATTTGTACATTTTTTGTGAAGAATTGTGAGGGATTTACCCCCTCGCTAAATGGTGCTGTAAAAAGGCCTTTCTTGTCTTTTAGAAAAATTTAGTTATTGGGGGAACGGTTCAGACTTTGTCTTTATTGATGTAACTTATATATACTGTATATTTTGTTTTGACCACTCTCTTTTTCTTTGAAGTTACCTGGTCAGATGTTGCCATGGAAGTGCGCCCATGAGCAGTACTGACAAGGACCTGGTGTTTCCAATCAGCCTCATCTTTTCTGACTCTTTTTGCATTTGGCTAGGGTCACTGTCACTACTGTTAGCATGAGGCGCTACCAGAACTCTGCAGAGGTTTGCACAGGCAGTCCAACTCCTCCAGGATGGCACATCAATATGTGCCATTGCCAGAAGGTTTGCTG